AAATCAAATTCTAGAGCAACATCAAAATTTTAAAAACTAATAATACAAGTACAAGTCAAAAGATTTTGTTTTTGGTTATTAAATAGATAAACTAAATTAATCTAGAGATATTCCCGATAATACAAAATCTAATTGAAAAAATGTAATGCATTGTCATAAGAGAGCTGAAAAATAAAATTAAGCAAACAACTAATTAACTACCATGACATTCTTAAGTATATATAGAGAGATTATAAACCAATCTCTCTCTCTCTCTCCCTTTCTATTTGTATATGATGTGTGTGTTTATAGGTTTTGTTGTAGCAGTAGACAACATTTTCCATAACAACTACACTAACATCGGAAGTACGCCAAACATAATAAAGTCGCTCAATTTTCACAAAATAATTACGTATTTGATGAATATTACTTAACTTTCGTGCTTGTATATACAAATATGCATGTCTATATCAAATCTCTAAATCACGTTATCAATTAAACAAAACATTGAGAAAGCCAAAATTCCTCACTTGCTTCCATGGCCCTTTGGGTAGAAATATTGGAGCTGTTGGTATGTAATTTGATGCCTCAGCTAAAACTGATGAAACAACAAATGCTCTAAAATCTCTTTTGCAAGAACCTAAATAGTCCAAAATCTGCAACATAGCATTCCTTCTACTTACACTAAAGTATTACAGAGAATTTTAAATTTCACCCAAAATACCTAATAATTTGCTTGGTTGCTGAAAAAAAAATGAAAGAATACAATAAAAATAACCAAAATAGAATAAAAAGTTTGAAGCTTCAACATTTTCCTTAGTTTCAGATTTTGAGTTATGCAACTTAACTAATCCAATGCATGAAGTACACAATGTTTACACAACCAAAGAGTAGAATTAGCATAATTCTATAAACTAATTATTTGTACAAAGTGCCAAATACCATCATACTCCAAACTCTCACCAAAATAAAAAAAATTGAAAAAAAATCTATTAATTTCCAGTGATATTACAAGACAAACTGATAAACACAAACTCGTCAAGCAAGTGAGTCCATTTAATCACATGTGAGTGATTAATAGTTCTCTCTGACCTTATGATCAATTTTCCTTCCTTTTTTCAACTTTTTTTCCGGGCAACCAAATTGAATATCTAGAGTATAGTTACCATGAATGCACCTTTTCAATCATCGATAACCAGTCCAACCTCAATACCCATATGTAGCGAAGAATCAGCTACAAAAAAGACTTACCCAAAAAAGCTACAAAAGCAGCCTAAAAAAATATGAAGTGTGTAAAAATAACATGATCAATCATGACTAAAGAGAATGAGTAATTTGAGGATAGAATGACACAATCTCGATCATGTATGATATTGCCATGGAAGATGATACTAACTTCAGGTCAAATCAGTACAATTTATTTTCAATGCTCAAACCATAGTTTGGAATAATGGAAATCACAGTGCATATACCATTAGAGACGGTGCTAAACCACCATTCCGAACATAAGCAGTCCAAGAAACCTCATTTCCAACTCCTCTATGCGACATTTCATTAAACATCAGTTGTGCATCAACGAAAGCACCACACTTGCCATACATAGCTACAATGGCTGGCATTACAAACAAAAAAACATTACCATCAAATCCAGTACTACAAAGTTAACCCAGAGACAGTAGAAGAACAAATGCATAAACAATGTACAAAAAAAGGTAAAGCCAAGACCTGTAACTCAAATGAAGGAACAAAATAAAAAATGAGACCAGTTCGTCTCAAAATTGAATAAAATCTCAATTCAAATTCAGAATTCAAAATCGAAAACAAATGTTGAAGTAAAACATGATTCAAATTCTCAATTGGAAGGTGGCGGGGTGGTTGTTTTGGGGGTGGTGCGGGGCTGTTCTTTGGTGGGCTGAAGAAAAAGAGGGAGAGAGAGACTTACTTGAGAGAGAGAGAGGGAGAGAGAGACTTACTTGAAAAGAGAGAGAGGGAGAGAGAGAGACTGTATCATGGGCTACCGGAGTTTCTTCGTCGCTGAGAGTCGTCGAATTTGGAATTGGGCGCTATCGGAGTTGACGATCGTTTCAGGCTTCTTCAGTTCTGTGTACTATGCCTATTAAAGATGTGAGAGCAGAGCAGCCCAAGAGTCATTTAGCCAAGAGTTTACCTAACTGGCAGAAATTAAAATAATTTTAATGTTGGTATTAACTTAGAAAAAGATAGAATTTATTGTGGCATTAATTTGGGAGGATTAGCATGGCATAGTTATAATGTTGGAGGGTTAAAGTGGAAAAAAAAGTTTTTCATATATACTAATATTTTAAGTAATATATATAGAATATAAATATAGATTTATGCTTTGACCAAATTTATGCTTCAACAAAATTTCTCAGAGCTTTTGACATCTAACATTACGCGCATTTAGGTATGTTTTCTTCATGTTTCTGAATAGTCAAACACACGCACACACACATCAGCACACACATCGTACACATGCACACACCAGATTCACCCGATTAGTTTCGAGTCATACATTTCCCCCACTTTTCTCATTTGAACAATTTCGTGGATATGAATTGTTCCTGATAGAGTTTTTTGCGCCTCTCTCATGCTTGACAAAATGTCTCACTGAGCCGTTGACATCCAACATTACGCACATTTGGGTATATTCTCTTCAAGTTTTTTATTTTTTTTTGTTTTTTTTGTTGTATTTAAACAATTTTATGTTGTTCTCTTGATGTTTCTAAGAGTGTAGTTATTTGTTATGATTGAGGAAAATATGATTCTTTGCTCGCCAATTATGCTGATTGGCATAATCGCAGCAGTCATTGGTGTGAAGGTTTCAAAGTTCATTTCCATACAATTTCCTTTTAGTAGTCTCCCTAAAAGAAGTTGGTGGAAATAATGGCTTTGACAAGAATTTTGGGATGAATACAGTTTGTGTGGTGGATGTTTTGGTGATGTCGTGGGTGAAGTCGTGGATGGTATCATCCAACTCAATATGTTGGAAGACTATTGTAGATTTTCTGCTATTCATTTGTTATGTTTCAATAGAACGATTTGATTTTGAGCGTGTCCCATTTTCCGTTCCTTAAAAAGTGGATGATCCGAGCTCTAGATGGTTGCAAGCGAGAAAGATGACATTTTTTTGGAATGTTTAAAGGATAAATTAGTGAGGTTTAATGCATATGAGAAATCCAAATTGTAGGGTGGTGATGTGGTTTAAAGTTTGGTTAAATTAGCTTGAGGGTGAGTTAAGTGTACGTGGAATTTAGGAAGGAGGAGGCAACTGAAATTTTGGACTAAATCAGACCCATACTAGGGATTATGTGACTTATTTTGACGAAGTTTTTACCTTGATGATTTATTCTGACCAAGTGATTTGCCTTGATAAATTTGAATTTGAGAATATCTCCTATCTCCTATCTCCTATCTCCTATCTCCTATCTCCTATCTCCTATCTCCTATCTCTCACCTACCTCCACAGATTTTGATATTCTCACTTTTCTGTCATTCTGCTCGGTTTTTTGTGGCCAAGTCGAATTGTTTTGCTAGAGTAGTCTTCATCTGTGTAATTAAATTTTTCCTTGCGTACATTTGTAGAGAATCCGTTGTATATTACCTTCCAAAACAATCCATTATATAGTTTTTTCTTTCTAATTATCTGGGTTTTATTTGATCTATATCTGTTCTTCTCATATTTTAAAGACTATGTGGGCAGAGAAATGATTGTGGAGTTAAAGAACGACTTTGTCACTCAAGGTAGCTTCCATTAGGTTGACCAATACCATTGAGGTTGAGAACATTAAGGCTGTCCATCAAGACAAGTACCCATGTATGCTATTTCTTAGATGTAAGATTCAATTCTTGCTTAATTTTTTTTTTTTCTGTGCTATCGTCAACTCTTTTTTGGCAATGGATTTACCCAATCGAGGACCAGTTTGGATTACTTTTGCTTTGTCGATTTGCTGTGATGTACACACATAATTTAAACATTGCCTAAATTGCTAAATTTGTAGAAAATCCAAATGGCCTTGATGACTTAATCATTCAAGTGTTTACTTTGGTAGAATTCTTTGCACAAGGTTGCACACATTCAATCATCCATATTCGAAGCTGGTGTCAAGTGGAGTGATGTGGTGAGGTTTGAGTGCACCAACTGTTGTTGGAGGCATTTATCTTGGCTATGAGATTCCCACATTCTTTTTGATGATGCTAACTGCTGGCAAAATACATGTTGTTCCAAAGGATAATATTTGTCATGTTGGTAAACTATGAAATGTTACAGTTATTGAGGCTAATATCCAATGCTCATTATTGTGAGAGTTCATGCTTTAGTTTGCTAGAGCATAGCCTTCATTATTAGTAATGCATTTGTGTTTAGGTCTTATAGTTGAGTACTTAATGGTGGATCTTTCATGATTGTGGTGTGCAAGACTTTGTTGGCATCTTAACTATGTTCATGTATTTGTGATTTTTACGTACCATTACTCCTATTTTATTTTTCTAGCCGTCAATTCTCAGCAATGACATAAATTTTATGAGTTTTCAGTTTAAACATATGATATTTTGATTATTAAAGTTGCGTTTTCTCTATTTCTTATTATTTTACTTTTGTTTGGTTAATTAAAATTAGTCATACACGGATTCCAAATTAGTGTTTTAGTTCAAAATGGTATGCATCGTGTTGTTAATTAAAATGTGTAGGTAATGCTTTGTTAGGTGTGCATGCAGGTATGTTGAGGATGCAATTTAAGCATTTGGGGCTTCAATTGAGCCTAACGTGTCCATGATCAATGTTTTTTTCCTTTTGTTTTAAGTTGCAAAATGCTTTTAGACAATGTAGTATTCTTCGAGTTTTAATTTTTATTTTTTGTCATCCCGTGCCTTCAGGCACTGATAATTCCTAGTTACTCGATAAACATTAACTTGATGATGTAACTGCTGATGTGTATATGTAACGTCATCTAGTCTCCCTACCAAAATTTTAAATTATTTTCTTTCTTTTAAAAAACTCTAAATCAAGAGTCCATTTTGCCTTCCTCTTCCCGTGAAGCCCCAGCCCCAGCCCTAGCCTTCCTCTTCTTTTCTTCTTCATCTTCACCGGACTCAAGCCGTTGAACTCGACACCGGTGTCTACAACCATTCAAATAGACGCCAACCCTTTTAACAAACCCAATTGATTTCTTAACTTCCTCTCCCCTTTTCCAACTGTTTCCTCCCTTGCTGATCTCTTCGCTGGAGCATTTGAAATCACCGCTTGCCACAACACCGATGTCATCTGCACAACAATTGAAACGGTGTCTTCCTCTCCAATGAACCCTACCCGATCTCCTCCCCTCTTCACCTCGTCTTTAGAGAACACAATGAACAACGCCAAGCCAAACCCTCAAAATCACCTCGGACCTCACTCTTTTTCTATTCGCCAAGCCCCACCCTCCAATCCCTCATTTAAATTTTTTTTTCTTTTAGTAAGAAAATAAGTTTACGACATAAGTTTAATTGTGGAGGGAAACTTGATGACTTGACATGTGCACATCAGCTAACATGTAATGCTGGATTACCTCCCAAATGCCCATAACTTTCTATTTAACATTGAATACATGCAGAAAATATTGACCCATGGGTCTTAGCTCAGGTGGTAAAGAAATGGTGCGATGGTGTTGTCTATGATGTAAGTTAAATGCAACTATTGGCAAGGAATAGAAAGTAAACTTTAATAACTAAGATAATATCATGTCAAAATCACACACCCAATACTCTAGTGGTCGCATCCTGAGTTTGTAAGTTGATGCCATACTCATGCAGTAAACACTGGCATCGTGAACCACCAAGCCGGTACCCTGAAAAGTATGCTTCCTGTTTAATGCAAATATGAAAGAGTATGGATGACACGATCACCATAAAGAAGCACAACACGTTACCCTAGCAGGTGTTGGAAGTTCCCTATCCTTTCCCAAGAAATCTGCTGACTGCAGACCGGACCCTCAAACGTAGAAATCTCAGCATCAGGTTGTGAAGGAGAAACCAGCTCTATGTGCTGCATTCAAAGGTCAAACAATGACCAAGAGCTAAAAGAGTTTATGAAAAGACTAGAATGATTACATGCAAGTGTGAGAAAACAAGAAGGGTTAATTAGACTAGGATATACAAACTTGAAAGGGAATAATAACTACTATTTCTGTTGTTCACAATTGGAGCAATTTAGTGTAATGGGATCTCGCATTGCACTAGAAAAGCCTCTTTAGATGTTAAGGTAGCAGTCATCAGAAATAGTTAGTCACAAGTAATTTACTGGCTACCAGATCAACTGCAACGACAAATTATTAGACTTCTACTCCAATACACACATTTAATTACAACGCAAAAAATCCACAATGATTTAATAAAGAAGGGTTCTATGACGCAAATTTGATTTTGGATATGACAGAAAGAAGGAGCAGGGCTTGGACTGTCTGACAACAATGTTCTGATCCACACATGCAAATTCATAGAGTAGCTTATGTATTAGAAACTTACTTGATAAGCACCATAGAGACTAGGGCGGATAAGTTCTGACATGCTGCCATTGATCACTGTTAAGAATAGTATGATAGTATGTGTAAATTGTTAATAGTAAGAGGGTGTATGTGTAATTTTTATTACTGTAGGTCAACTATAAATACAAAGATGTATGAGAGCTATGTTATGTTTTTAACCTCTCTCTTTGTCTCTAATATTATATTAATCCTCCAAACTTAACATGATATCAAAGCTTAAACGATCCTAAATATATTAACACTATAGTACTGTAGTGGTGTGGTTATGGTGGCTGTGGTGTGTGGTCTCTGTTCATCGCCTACTTGCGTCGTTCGTGGTGGTGGTGGTGTGGTGGCATAATCACTTGTGGTGGTGGTGGCTGTGGTGGTCTTGCTATTGACGTCGTTGTACTGTTGTTGTCGTTTCTGTTCTTCAGTTCATCGTTCGTGGTAGTGGCTGTGGTGTGTGGTGGTTGTGGTGGTCTTGTGATTGAAGTCGGCTTGTGGTGTGTACTGTTGTCGCAAACCAGAGGGTAACCCTAACCAGCGAGGAAGAAGAAAGGATCCAACGAGGTCTAGATCAAATCGGGTCAAGTCAAACCCAGGACTTAAATTTTAAGTCCAAACCTGGTCCAGCCCACGGTTCAGCTTAGACCGGACTACGATTCAGGCCGGTTCAGCAGTTTATAGAGCCTAGCCGATCCGGTTCAAAGGTCCAGAGAGCTCTGGTAGCCCAGTTCAGTGGTTCAACTTGGTTTCCATCCCTGTTCAGTGGTCCAGTCTGATTTTCGAGGCCGGTTCAATGATCCAGTCCATTTTTTTCAGGCCAGTTCAGTGGTCCAATCCACTATTTCAGTCCGGTTCAGTGGTCCAGTCCATTTTTTCAGGCCAGTTCAGTGGTTCAGTCCACTTTTCCAGCTCGGTTCAGTGGTCCAGTCCACCTTTCAAGCCCGGTTCAGTGGTCCAGTCCATTTTTCTAGCCTGGTTCAGTGGTCCAGTTCATTTTTCTCAGTACGGTTCATTATTCCAGCTCTTTTTTTCTTCAGGTTTATCACTCCAGCAGCCTTGAGCAATTTTGTTTGCTTCTATTATTTGCTATATTATTATGGAACCCAAGAATAAAAATGATGATAGTCAGGTTGATCTTATTTCATCCACTTCACCAAATTTTTCTCCGACGGTTCTACTTAATGGTTCCATGACATCTGTTAAACTCAATGAGACCAATTATGTTTTGTGGTCACGATCTGTTCAAGTATTTCTTAGAGGTAAAGGCTTTAAGAAATATTTAGTGGATACTAAACTCAAGGAAGTTACTCCTGGGTATGATAAGTGGAAACAAGAAGATGCTCAGATTATTTCATTGCTATTGAATAGTATTAAGCCCAGTATCAGTTCTACTTTGCTTTATCTTGACACGGCCAAAGAGATATGGGATCACTTGGCTACCATGTATTCTAGCACTAAAAATTTCACTCGTGCATATGAAGTATGCAAACAGTATTTTCGTTTGGAGCAGGGTACTTTGAGTCTTGAGGACTATTACTCTCATGTTCGGGGAGTGTGTGAGGAGTTGAAGCTCTGTCACCCCTTTACTACTGATGCAGCGGTTTGGTAGAAGCAACATGAGAATTTGAATGTTGTTCGATTTGTAGTTGGTTTGAAACCTGAGTACGAGTCTATTCGCTCTCAGATTTTGGGTGGTTCTAGTCTTCTATCCCTACTGGAGGTTTTTTCCCGCCTGCAGTGTGCTATCTTCTCTATCGGTTCATCCAACATGGAGTCTAGTGTGCTTGTTGATCGTTTAGCTCTTGTTGTCTCGAGTAGCCATGGTGATAGTTTCCGAGGTGGCCGTGGTAACTGTGGTGGTCGCGGCGGTCGGGGAGGCCGTACTGGAGGCCGTAGAGGGTGTTTAGGGTCTCGTTCATGCTCTCACTGTGGTCGTGGAGGCCACACTGTTGATTACTACTAGGATTTACATGGCAAGCCTTCGGGTGTTGCTAATCAGGTGTCTTATCAGGATGACACCCCGACTCCTGCTGCAATACCTTGGTTTGCTCCACCTAATTTTGTATTAGTTACTCTTACACGGGAGGAGTATGCTCAATTTTTGTCCCATCAGCAGGTTGTTGTTGTTCCATCTCCCTTCACTGCTACTTTTGCCCAGTCAGGTACTGCCTCCACTTGTTTATTGTCCTCCACTCGTAGTCCCTAGATCATAGACTCTGGAGCTTCTGACCATATGACTGGTGCGTTTTATGTTTTTTCTACTTATCAGTCTGCTACTTCTACACATAGTGTTACTCTTGCTAATGGTATTTGTTCCAAAGTTTCAGGTCTGGGGACTACTCACTTGAGTCCTGATATGTCCCTATCTTCTGTGTTATTTGTTCCTCAGTTTCCTTTTAGTTTACTTTTCATTAGCAAGATTACTCGTTCTCTCAATTGTTCTGTAACCTTTTATCCCTCTTTTTATGTCTTTCAAGATCTCAAGACGAAGAGGAAGATTGGTACGGGGCATGAAGCTGGTGGTCTATATTACCTTGACTTTGATTCACCTACCCGAGCTTTATAGACCTCGTTGTCTTCTTTTCAATGGCATTGTCGTCTTGGACATTATGTATCATCTTTGTCTTGTGAAGCTTGTCAACTTAGTAAGCATTACCGTGTGTTATTTTAGTCTAGAGTCAATAATCGTGTGTCTAGTCCATTTGAATTAGTCCATTCTGATGTATGGGGTCCAATAAAGAATATTTCATCTAATAAATATTCTTATTTTGTGACATTTGTGGATGACTATTCTCGTGTGACTTAGTTATTTTTGATGAAAGCTCGGTCTGAATTATTCTCTATCTTTGAGACTTTTTGTAAGGAAATAAAAACTCAGTTTGGTTGTCGTATATGTACTTTACGTTTTGATAATGCTCGAGAATATGAATTTGATCCCTTTTTAACGTATCTTAGTAAAACTGATATTATTCATGAGACTTCTTGTGCTTACACCTCTCCCCAAAATGGTGTTGCTAAACGCAAGAACCGTCATTTGTTGGAAGTCACCTGTGCCTTGTTATTCTAGATGAATATTCCCCAATATTATTGGAGTGATGTTGTTCTTACTGCTTGTCATCTTATTAATCATATGTCATCCTTTGTGTTAAATGGGCAAAGTTCATATTCTGTCATTTTTTTCGGTAAACCCTTATTTTTCCTGACTTCTAAGGTTTTTGGTTGTGTTTATTATATTCACAATTTGGGTCCTGAGTTTGACAAACTTGACCCCCGAGCTATAAAATGTGTATTTCTTGGTTACTCCCGCACGTAGAAGGGGTATCGTTGCTACAGTCCTTCTCTGCACCGATACTTTACTAGTGTCGATGTCACGTTTGAAGAGTCTGTTCCATACTTTCTAGCACCTTCTTAGCCTTTGGATCCTCTCTTGTACCACAATTTCTTTCTTCACCTTCAGATCTTCCGCTGCCCACTATGTTACCATCTACTTTACTTCGCCGTGTCTACTCTCGCGGTCCTCGCCCATCGACTGAGGTGCCCGTACCATCTTCCTTGTAGCCTTCTGATCCTGGTATATTAGGTAATTTAAACTCTTTACCTATTACTCTTCGCAAAGGTACTCGTTCGTGTGTTACTAATCATCTCATTTCTTATTTTGTTTCATATGATGCCTTATCTTCTGTCTTCTCCTGTTTTACTTCTCAATAATTTGCTATATCTATTCCTAAGCATTTACAGGATGCATTATCTGATCCAAGTTAGAGGAAAGCTATGGAGGAGGAGATAAATGCTTTACATGATAATGGGACTTGGGATCTTTTTCCTTTACCCTCTAGTAAATGAACTGTTGGCTGTCATTGGGTATATACTATTAAGTATCATTCAGATGATTTTGTGCAAAGGGCTTTCCTCAGACTTATGGTGTTGATTAAGAGGAGACTTTTTCTCTTGTTGCCAAAATTTTCTCTGTTCGTATCTTGATTTCTTTGGCTGCTAATCTTGATTGACCCTTGTTTCAGTTAGACGTTAAGAATGCCTTCTTATATTGTGACTTGGTTGAAGAGGTATACATGGAGCAGCCACCTGGGTTTACTACTCAGGGGGAGTATGGTAAGAGTGTATGTCGGTTAAAAAAATCTTTGTATGGTTTGAAACAGTTACCAAGAGCATGGTTTGGTAAGTTTTCAAATGTAGTTTTAGAGTTTGGTCTTCTTCGATGTCAGACAGATCATTCTGTGTTTCATAGACAGACAGATGCTGGATATGTCCTATTGGTGGTCTATGTAGATGATATTGTGATTACTGAAAATGATTTTGAGGGGATTGCTAAGTTAAAAATATTCTTACAGGATCGATTTCATACTAAGGATTTAGAAAAACTCAAGTATTTCTTGGGTATTGAAGTGGCTTGATCTAAACAGGGTATTTGTTTAACTCAGAGGAAATATGTACTTGACATCCTTGAGGAAGTAGAATTGCTGGGTGGTAGACCAGTTGATGTTCCTATGGATCCGAATTA